TAGTTGATGATTACTCAAGATACACATGGACAATCTTCCTCAACGGCAACAAGGAGACTCAAGGGAAACTCACCAACTGCATGAAGCTGATTCAAAACCAAGCAAGTCAGACCATTCAGAAAATCAGATCTGACAAAGGCACAGAATTCCTGAATGAAATCATCATTCACTACTGTGAAGAAAACGGAATTCTTCATCAGACATCTGCAACAAGGACACCTCAACAGAATGGTGTAGCTGAAAGAAGGAACAGAACTCTTAAGGAAGCAGTGAGAACCATGCTAGCAGAAGCTTCCTTACCAAAGAGGTTCTGGGCTGAAGCTGTTAACACAGCCTGCTACACTCAAAATAGGAGTATGATTTATAAAAGGCACAACAAAACTCCCTATGAACTGTGGAACGGGAGAAAGCCTAATATATCATATTTCCATATTTTTGGGAGCAAGTGCTTTGTGTTAAACAACGGGAAGAATCATCTGAACACTTTTGATGAGGCTTGCTCTTCCACCATAAAGGGGATGGTGAGGCTTGCTCTTCCACCACCATTCCGAAGGATTCACCTGACCCTAGTGTGGTACCAAAGTCCACGGCCAAGGCTGCCATTAAGGTGGCAAAAGTGGGTGCTAAAGCTATGGGAGATGGAGTTCCAGCTTCAAACCAAAAACTACAGCAACCCAAGGAAAAGAAGAGCTTGAATGGAAAACAACCCGGCACTGTGGGCGATGATGACCAGCTCGTTGGTACCTCCTCTACCCCTACGCATATTGAGGAAGCTGTCCAAGCAAACTCCAAGGTAGGGGCGTCCAACACAGAGAAGGGAAATAAGCCAACTGGAGCAGCCAAGAAGGCAGACGAGACTACCACAGAGAACCCACCAAAAAAGGCACCGTGGCGAATCAAGCTGGACAAACAAAGGGAAGAGTGGCTCGATTGGCTACTCAGCCAAGCTATGGATTGAGTGGACAGATCAGACCTTGGACTACCTAAGCTTGCGCCGGCTGAACTTCGAGAGCTCATTGCCCGCAACCCTCCTTGCTTGAGGGATGCCTATGGAGCTCCGGTGGATACTTTGGAGTATATGCACTGGGAAAGAACGATGAAAATGCTTGGACGAATCAAATAGTCTTGGCTTTATCTCTTTTCTAGTACTTGTTTGACATGACTTGTCTTTGATTTATAGGGGTATGCCCCGATGCATTGTTTGTATGTCTTGTATGTACTCTTTGTATTGACTCTCGGATATTAATAATTTACATTTTATCCTTGAANACAGGTAAGTGACTCTCCTCCTGAATCTTATTTGTGTTACAATTGCAGGAAGCCTGGCCACTGGAAGTCAGCGTGCCCGTACCCAAAAGTGGAGAAGTACGGAGAAAGAGAAAGGATCGAGAAGAAAAAGAAAGCAATGGTTGCTGCTGAAAGTGACGAGTCATCCAGCTCAAGCTCGGATGAAGAAGCTCTCGTCTGCATGGAGCGCAGAGTTGAAAAGTCCAACCATGAGGATAGGTGGACTATGTCAGAAGATGACACTCTCTGCCTAATGGCCAAAGATGATGCTGATCAAGAGGTAACCTCACAAACCTCCTGCTCATCTTCTTATGAAAGCATACCAACTTCTGAAAATCTTTTTGACCAGTTCAAAAAGATGATGAAAGACTTTGAGGAAATAAATCTCAAACACACATCCTTAACAGAAGAGAACAAACTATTAAGTGAAGAGAATCTCAAGTTAACTGAAAGTCGGAAAAGTCAACTGAATGAGATCACTCAACTCAAGACTGAAAATGAATCTCTCTCTGAAAAGGTGAAATCCCTTAACAAAGAGCTAGGGATACTCAAGTCCCAAGAAGCAGTGAACAAGCTGCTTGAAACGACCAAACATAAGGGTCGCAAAGGACTTGGGTTTGACTCCTCTATTTCCAAAAGGAAAGAGAAGACAACTTTCATCCCTCCTAAACCTACTGCCAAACCTAATAAGACGAAAGGGAAGGAAAAGGAGAAACCAACAGAAGTTCCCAAAAAGGTAGTCCCTCCTAAGAACTATAGGAAGCTGGACAAACCTCAAAAAGGAAATAATTTCAGAAGAAAACCTTCTAACCCCCATTATACACGAGGCTATACCCATTATGGGGTAGACAGGAGTTTTCCAAGAAATTCTGAGTGGAGAACTATGCCAAGATATAGTCATCCTCCACCCTAGAAGCTATTTGTGCCACCTAAGTATGCTTATAACCGACACAGGACACATTATGCACAACCTAGACAAAATTATAGGTCTTATCAAGCTAGGTTTGCTAGGAGGAAACAGGAAATAACACCTCCTGCACGTAGGAAGTTTTATGCCTACAACTATGATTACAATCCAACAAGTTTAGAGCTGCAAGGAAAATTCCCTGCAACTTCAAACTTGATGTAGGGACACACACCATTAACTACTCCGGACCCAAACTTAATTGGGTACCAAAATCTTCCTCCTCCTAATGCAGGAAGCCACTAAGTACCCAGGTGTCTGGTACTTAGACAGTGGTTGTTCAAGACACATGACGGGTGATGCGAGCCTTTTGAGCAATCTAATTCCCTATGATGGTCCAAGAGTTACTTTTGGAGGAAGCAATGATTTCGGCCTTACTAAAGGGCTAGGAAATCTGGTGTACAAGGGACTAACCATCCAAGCTGTATCTTATGTTGAAGGGCTCAATTACAACCTTCTTAGCATAAGTTAGTTTTGTGATAAAGGTTACTCCTTGGAATTCTGCAAGGACATGGCATCTCTCAAGAACATCTCCACAAATGAAGTCATTCTCACTGGGAAGAGAATCAGAAACATCTATGAAGTAATATGGAGCGATGTCAAGGAAGCATGTCTAATCAGCAAAGGTGACACTAACCTTCTATGGCTTTGGCATAAGAGGTTGAGTCATCTCAACTTCAAAAC